GACATTAAGCGGCAATCCATTTTTGTGCGACATATAGCGGCAACGTTGCGACATTTAGCGGTAGGCGATTGCGACATATAGCGTTGATTGCGACATATAGCGTCAGCGTTGCGACATTTAGCGTTAGTTGCGACATATAGCGGCGTTGCGACATATAGCGTTGCTACATACATGTCTGTAGCGCCGATATATGTCCAAACGTCGAAAAATGTCCAAACGACGATAAATGTCCAAAAATTGACGATAAATGTCTCAATCGCCGATAAATGGCCAAAACTCCTTTAACGATAAACGTCCAAAAATTAACGAAAAATGTCGCAACAAATTAGGTGCTCAAAAATGTCCAAATCGGTTAACGATAGATGTCTCAACTCTTCATATGTTAATTTGTAATTTATTGTATTGGATACTGTAACAATCTATCCAACTAACCCGTGATTTTACCCTCTGGTTTACCCGCGACGTAAAATGTATCATACATTATTGTGCATGGCCAGTTGCAGATCCGGATGGGGCGCGGGGGGCATGTGCCTTCTTAACTCACCGCAGCAATACGTTTCAGCATTGTTTGTGTTCTTCAATATTTTTGTGCCCCATATAGCGTTGCCATTGTCCGTCCGAGTGTCTAAGTGTCCGTCCCGAAAGTTTGTGAACGGTATAGGGGCGTGGACAGAGCTGCATATTTCTTTACTGTCAAGTGGTCAAAAGTTTAGAACAATATGCAACTCTATCTGGCAAACAAAGCAGTTAACCTGTATAAACCATGTGAGCTAATCAAGGGGTTAACTGCTTTGACAGTTAAAATCTGACCTACTGATTCAACAGCGAACAGTGCAGACCTTGACAGGATGAAGCATTTGCTTGTCGGGGGATATGGTTCGACAATGGTCGTTATAAGCATATACGCAACACGTGTTAAATGGGTTTTGTGACTTTTCTCTTAAGTGCTGCGAAGACGGTCCTTCTCATGCTACATTGATTTAAGATATTTGTATTTGATTATTACTCATTCGCGCGTGGTGGACTGAACGCCACTGCGGGGCCACCGCCTTATAAATACAGAGTTTTGAAAGGCTACTTACATGCATCCCTCCAGTGTCGACCCAGATCAGTTTGCACGCAAATGCGCTATTAAACACCAGTAATTGATAGTTAAGGTTTTGTATGTCCCTACAGTGTGGCACTTTCAAGATCAACCTACATGGTTATACATGAATATAATGTATATACATGTATAAACAAGTAAATGTTCAACTAAATAAGGAGAAGTAACTGCTATATTACCATTTTACACCTTCTGATTGGCTATAATTATGTCGTGGGAACAAGATAATTATTTCGTGGGAACAAGATATTATCTCGTGGGAACAAGAGAATTATTTCGTGGAACAAGATAATATCTCGTGGGAACAAGATAATATCTTGTGTGAACAAGATAAATAAAGACACCCATGTGTCACATCTGTGCCACCGTAATAGACACTTGACGTAAATGTATGTTTTCTTGCTGTGCTGGTTGGATACAAACATGTACATTTAAAAATTACTTATATGTCAAATATTAACTTAACAATGTTATATAAATAACACATGGCTGTCATTTTGCATCATGCTAACTGGTTACTAAAGCATTATCGTTTTTATCAATACAGAGTTATGTAAGGGTTATGTACCCCAGGGTGATATAAGAAATATTCCCCGGGAAATATATTCTAGGAGGGTGATATTCGATCAGAACACATTGTAGGCCTATGGGAGTTTTACATTGAAGGATATATTGAGGTATAATAATATATAAATAACATATTGCTGTCGGGGTGATAGAGGATATTGTCAACCCGAGAAGTTGTATATTACCCCGAGGCGCAGCCGAGGGTAATATGCCAGTTCAAGGGTTGGCACTATCCTCTATCACCCCGACAGCCATATGTTATTTATTTTATTATACCGAAAAAAAAAACCTTAGGTTCCAAAACATTCATAAGAGAAAATACAGATCAACACTTCAAAATTACAGCGATTTTGATCTGTAAACACAAAAATGTATTGGAGTCATTTCGTAACATTTTCTGTCCTACGGCCAAAACTTTGTACTGTCCTAGGATGATAACTTGAGCCTTTGTTTACATAACAAAGACCAATAACAATGCGAAAAATAGGTTAGGCAGATCAATGCCACAATCTATAAAAATGAATATAAAACTACATGTTATCATATGTCTTGTTCGCGCAGTAGGTAGAGCAACCGTGTCAGTAATGAGTTTATCCGTACAGACAGAAGTTCGACTACTGGTACATTTTTTTTTTTACCTCAGAACAGTCAATTGTTTGACCGGTTTTATGCATACATAAATATGAGATCGAATATTTTATTTCACTGTGATCAAAAAATACAAAAAGAAAAAAGAATAGAAATAAAAAATAAATATATACTATAAAATATATATCATAAGAAGAAAACAAAAAGGAAAACGAAAATAAATGAATAATTATAATGATAAAAAACAGAGCAAGAAGAAAAACCTGTGGTTATAAAATGGCACTACTTGGGGTTCGAACCTATGAGAACAAAACTCTAAAAGTTACAAATAATTTCGATCTACCGACAGAGCCATAACGGTAATACACAAACGATACTGTAAGAATAATGCTATATAGTATTTGTAAGTGTTTACTTTTACGATATCGGATAATAATCCAGATAACCCCGTTTTTGGACTTTCCCATGTACCGTTAAGACCAAATTATCATCCTAGGACAGTATATTTAAGAGATTTTACTGAAAATGCAAATGGACACGAAATGTTTAGCTAAAATCTCATAATTTCAACAGTTTCCAGTTTTTTAACGGTTATATAAACCCTTAAAAATATTATCAGAAGTGCCAATTAGAGCCAATTAGTGCTGTCCCTACACAAAAATAACAGCATTTGTGAAAATATTACAAATCTCATGACAATTTAACTGTCAAAAACATACCCTTTTCGCATTATCTTATGTTTAAGCCAGTCAACTTTGATGTTAAACGCACATTTACAACAGTTTTTGTATTATATTTTAAAATTTGAAATCTGTCCCTAAAGTTTATGTCACTCCTGTAACATATTCATGATCAGTAAAAGTAATAACTGATCCCTAGCTATTAAGAATAAAACAAAGCCTCTAAAATAAAGAGAAGTCTCTAAATAGTAACACAGGAGGTGCCACATGGGATCATCTTGTTTGTATATTTTTGAAAATGCATACTTCTGTTGCAATGGCAAGTACTTGCGTAATTTTTATTCCTGCACTCCTGTAACGGGTAGTATGCTTTAATTGTCAGTACTCTGCATTTACAGCCCCACTGAGAATTTTGTAAAATATGTGGTAAAAGTCATTAAGAAAGATTCACATCTATTAGGGATACATTGTTATTACTTTTACTGAGATTAACATTAAATATGTCACTCATGTAACAGTCACTTCTGTTACAGCTAATTTTGTAACAGTAGTGACCAAATAAGTAACAGTACATACATTTAAAACAATTATCAGTTAATTTAAAAGTGTAATTTGTAGAAAAGACCTTGAAATTTACTGTATAAACCTATTAAAATTTTCAGATTATACATTAGAAATAATGGTTTACTTTTTATTTATAATTTAGGCTAGGCATTTTAGCCAAAAATAAGACCCAACCTCAAACAAATTCCTTCAGAAAAGATATTTGCATATTTGTTATCTACTACATATGTGTTGCTACAGGAAAAAAGTCCTCAAAAACATTCGAAGTATAAAATGCTAAAAATGTCATGTTTTGAAATCATGTGTTTTCAATTAGAAAAATCTGTGAAATTAAATAACCCAGATATTCTACGCAAATATGGTCATTAACAAAGTAACACATTAATACACAAACATGCTTTATTTAATCCAAAACACTTCAACCAATGTTGATTACATTCAAAAAGTCACAACACTGCATAATCTATACATCATCATCACGGATTTATATAAATCCGTGATCATCATTTAGACTGGTATAAAACATTACCCCACCCACTAATGATAAAATATTTTTTTTTTACTTTAAGTCAGATTCCATTAAATATTCTTACAAGTTAGCTGTACCAAGAATAAAGTTGTATGAATCTATCTAAATTCATATTATAATTCAAAATTGGAATACATTTTACACGAATAATTATTATTTATATACATTGTATTTGCATTTCTGTTCTGAAAATCAATCCTTCAAGTAAATATCTTACCAATGCTAAATTGCACTTACTTTTCCATGTAAGTTTTGTAAAAAAAAAATATTGTAAAAAGACATTTTACAATAAAATTAATCTTCTGAATGTTAAGACACTGAAAAATTCAATGTTATTTCATCATTAATTTTTGTCACCGAGGCCCGACTATCCATATAGTCTGACAACGCTACACATGTATATATACATATTGCCCTGCCCTTGTTCAATGCTGAAATTATATCTCCACTTTTTCGGCCGGTGCTGTTGAAACCTTGAGCCTATAGGTCAAGGTCAAGTTCAGTGAAGACATGCTGTTTTTCGAGCTCCGTATAAAATATTAAAATTTTATTGTTTACAAGAGGAATTAGTAGATATGAAGTGTTTTAAAACGTGTATAAACTGGAATACTAATGTCTGCGCAGAAAAATCCGCCTAAATTCAAAGGCAGAAACTAAGAAAAAGAAGAAAATAATAGGCAGGCGACTTCGCCATTGGAAAATAGTGACGCGCCATTATTCACGCTTGGGTGGAGATAGCCATGTGACTGATATATAAAAAACAAAACAAAAAAAAACCTGATTACACTTCAGATATCGTGCAAACAAATAGAAGACAGTGTAATTATTTATACTCAGATATGGCTTTCCTAGACAATATGGGCAACCAGGTGGTTTTATACAACAATTGCAAGGTTCGCCCACGCAACAGACTTTTGGTCCTAGTTTTGGGTTTCCGTCGGCGGCCCCATCATGGGCAGTGGAATTAATGGACGAGGTTAAACAGATTAAACTCCAGTTGGAATCCATAAAAAACATTGAAAAACAGGTAACTTCTATTAATCAAAAATTGTCAGAAGTTGAAAAAAAGATGAAATCCATGGATTCCCGACTAGAGGAAAACGAGAAATCGTGTGATTTTATGTCGTCAGAATTGGATAAGTCGAAATTAGATGTGAAAAAAACAAAAGAAGATTTGAAAAAAATGCATAAATCTGTTCAAGGTTTAGAAAAAAACTCTGATAAGTTATTTGATAAAACGGAGAAATTAGACGAACAGTTAGTGGACTTAGAATCGCGATCAATGCGTAACAATTTATTATTCTACGGAATACCAGAGGAGGGCACCGATGAAAACTGTAAGCAGCTAGCAAAAGACTTCTGCAAAAATATATTGAAAATCTCATCCGCAAATGAATTTGTGTTCGACAACGCACATAGAATTGGGGAGAAAAAAGGTTCGAAACCCAGACCCGTGGTGGTCAGATTTCATTACTTAGAGGAACGTGAAGCTGTCCGGAAATCGTCCTTTGAACGGGATATCGCCGACGCTATGAAATCAGCAAAAAGGGGCGTCGGGGCCCAACTACCTAGAAGTGTCAGGGAGGCACGAAAGCCACTGTATCCAGTCATGAAACGCGCCAGGGATGAACACAAAAACGTAAAATTCATTGGGAAAAAACTTTTCATTGAGGGAGAAGAGTACATACCAGACATTCCTATGGAATAGGGAAGTCGAGAAGAGTCTTCTTTGAATATCTTGTGTTGGAACATAAACGGTTTAAGAAGGAAATTATGTGATTCGGACATTTTAGAGTTCATTCAAATATATGATCTGGTGTTTTTAAATGAAACGTGGTTATCAAAAAATGAAAATATTAACTTGGAAATAAATAATTATAGTTGTGAACATTTATTTGGAAATAAATCAGTGAATACAAAAAAAAGGACGCTATAGTGGAGGTATTAGTTTTTATTATAAGACTTATCTTAAACAATATATTAAGATTGTTGATAAAAATCAATATGGAATATTATGGATTAAGGTATCAGAACAGTTATTTCCCTTTAATGAAGATGTATATCTCTGTCATGTATATATACCACCTGTTTATTCTAAAGTATTGCCTTCTGTAGATTTTGATATTTTTGATCAATTAGAGTTAGATATTATTAAGTATAACAATTTAGGAAAAATATATGTTACTGGAGACTTAAATAGTCGAACGTCCGATTATTTAGACTATTTTTCCTTTGATAGATATATTGATAATGATTTGTCTATGGTAAATACATGTGACATACCACCGCGTGTAAACAAAGATCACGTTCTCGATTTCAACGGTAGGCGATTATTAGATATATGTCAAATTACAGGACTACTTCTTGCAAATGGTCGTTTGTTTAATGATTATGGAAAAGGCGAATATACCTTTTGTTCAAAAAATGGTCAAAGTACTGTTGATTATTTATTACTTAATTTCAATGACTTCGATACTTTGTTGAATTTTGAGATTTTAGAACAAAATGAACATTCCGATCATAATCCGCTTTTGTTTAGCCTGTATAGGAAATCACATGATTGTAGGCAGAAGCCCACTGCGCAAGAATACGATGATAGTTACACGAAAATAGTCTGGGACGACAGTAAACTGGACGAGTTTCGCGCACGGCTCATTAATATTCATGACGACTTAAATCGGTTAGCCAATCAGGCGTCGAGCGAGTCAGTCCAGCGTGTAGTTGACGAGTTTACCGATATAATGTATAGAACTACTTTCGATATCTTTGGAAGGGTCGTTGTAAACAAAACGCCAAACCATAATTATAAAGAAAATAAAAAATGGTTTGATCAAAGTTGTTATAATTCAAAAAGGGAATTTAAAACAGCGCGAAATTTATTCAATAGAAGTAGAGATAATGAATCTCGGTGCAATTTCGTGCGTTGTAGGACACGATATAATAAAATTAAGAGAAGGGCTAAATATAATTTCAGGGTAAGGGAAGGTAAAAAAATTAACGATTTAGCAAAAAAGGAACCTAGAAAATTCTGGAAAAAGATAAAAAAGAGTGTAAAGAAAATATCTCTACAGGCGGACACATTAACTACAGACAATCTGTATGATCATTTCAAGACTCTGTTTGGTGAAAGTCATTTAAATAATAACGATCAACAAGATTTCTCGCAAAATATATTATGTCATGATTTGGACAAGGACTTTTCCGAAAGTGAAATTCGGTCAGCTGTTTTCTCTCAAAATAATAATAAAACCCCGGGAATTGATAACTTGCCCGGTGAGGTTTTTAAGGCGTCATATGAATATATTTCACCGTTTTTACTTGCACTTTACAACAGAATTTATAGTAGTGGTGAGTACCCTACATCTTGGGGTGATGGAATAATAACACCCATTTTTAAAAAAGGTGATGCTAACGATGCATCAAATTATCGTGCTATAAATTTGATAAATATTGTAGCTAAAATCTATTCACAGTTATTACTTAATCGTATAAAAGACTGGAGCAAAAAGTATGATAAATTAGTACCAAATCAATTTGGGTTTCAAAAACAGAAATCTATAACTGATTGTATGTTTATTCTTCAATCTGTCATATCAAAGACGCTTAACGCTGGTCAAAAATTGTACACTATATTTATCGATTATGAGAAGGCTTTCGATAAAATTGATAGGTCCTATCTAATGCACAAACTTTTGGCTGAAAATGTTAGTTGTAAAATGGTTAAAGCAATTAAAGCGATGTATACCGTAGTGAGATCATGTGTAAGGTATAACTTTCAACTTTCGGGCTTTTTCGACTCGAACATAGGTCTGAAACAAGGTGACCCGAGTTCGCCTCTTTTGTTTATGCTCTTCGTAAACGATGTAGTCGAAAATATAAATGCAAATCTTGAAGGAATTTTTACTGTAAATGAACTTAAATTATTTATACTACTGTATGCTGATGACCAGGCCATTTTTGCGACGTCGCCGGAAACAATTCAATCCATTTTAAACGATATAGAAAATTATTGCACAACGTGGGGGTTAAAAATAAACACATCTAAAACAAAGGCTATGATATTTGAAAAGGGGAGACATACTACTTATAATTTTTATGTAAATAATGAAGTTATAGAAATAGTTAATTCTTTTAAATATCTTGGCTTAACTTTTTTTAAAAATGGAAATTGGTATCGATCACAGAAAAATATTGCACAGCATGCTGGCTATGCGCTACACAATCTTTTTACAATATTAAATAACGTAGAACTGCCAATATATCAGAAATGTAAGCTATTTGATTCATTGGTATCGCCCATCTTAAATTTTGGATCGGAAATATGGGGTATGCACCCTGCTAACGATATTGAGCATGTTCACACGAAATTCCTGCGCCGTATGTTAAGTGTAAAAAAATCTACAAACTTAAATGCACTCTATGGAGAATTAGCTAGAATACCTATGTCCGTAATTCGCAAAATTAATATGATTAAATACTGGGTGAAAATATTAAATCAAGATGAGTCGTCACTTCAGAAAAAGGTTTACATTATGTTGAAAACTGATTGCGAGCTAGGTAATGTTAACGACGGTAACTGGGCGTTTCAAATAAAGAGTATTTTGCAAGAACACGGGTTTCTCTATGTGTGGTTGCAACAATCCGATATATACACACAAATACCCTTTTTGGAGATTAAACAACGAATAATTGATAATTTTCTCCAAAGATGGTATTCAGAGGTGGTTAATTCTAGACGTTTAGAAACATATAGTTTATTTAAACACGCCTTCGAAAGAGAACGGTATTTGGAAGTTATAACTGACCAAAGGTTTAAGAACGCTTTAGCCCGCTTCAGAACCTCTTCTCATAGACTTAATATAGAAATCGGAAGATATAATAATGTGCCGCGAGATCAAAGGGTATGTTTATCATGCAACATGAATATATTAGAGAATGAATACCATTTTCTGTTAGTTTGCCCCAAATATAGAGAACTAAGGCGTAAATATTTGAAGAACTATTATTGTCACTGGCCTACGTTAACGAAATTTAAAAATCTTATGTCTTCTACATCAAACGCAACTATTATAAGTTTATCGAAATTTATATATTTTGCAACAAAATTCCTAAAGAAATAAAGAAGTAACCGTAAAAATTAGTATTTTTTAAGGAAAATTCTAAGTTCAATGGGAGATAAATCTGAAAATATTGGCGCTAGAGTTATAAACATTGTCACAAAAGATGTGGTTGATGATAAGGAACATATATTTGAAGTTTGAAGTTGATACGTTAAGAAATGACAAAGTTATAGTGAAAAATATTTTACTGCACCAAAACTTTAATCTGAAATCTGGACGTAGACGCCGATGCCACCGCCAGTAGGACAGCTCTCCATATACTTCGTATAGTCGAGCTAATAAAATATATATATATAGGGATTTAGTTTGCCAGCAGAGCAGTAAGACTAATTGTCACAAAAATCATAATTTATAGGGACACTAAATATTGTCTTCTGCAATCAACCATCCCATACTATGTTTCGCCCTTCCTCTGAAAATAAGATATATAAAGTCAATAAAACATTATCAAAAAGATATTAAAAAGAAATAGTATTGAAATGATATAATAGGGAAACGCCTGAGAAAATGTTGGTATGAGCAAACTCTTTTGTATGTGCATTTATTATAATCATGCTGTAAAACAATGATGTAAATTTGTGTTGATATATCAATTTCTGTTGTATTAACAAACCTGAAAGACACCCAATTGTTTTGTTTTTATTCATTCAATAAGATATATCCACGTAAAAAGCCATTTTTCTCTCGCATCCCATTACCCCTTGTGTAGAAGTCATGTGTCTATCAATTTTCTAACTAATTATACAACAATACAGCAACTGTTCTATGATTGCTGACAACAACATGGAAAACATTACTTAAAATATACATACAACTAGCACTGGTATCATGAGGGTAGATTATCAAGCTACACAAAGTTGTAAAACAGAATTATTTTCTACAGATGAATGCCATATTTGTATATGATTATCAATAACTCTCTGTTAAATATTTTTGGAAATAATTTACTATCTACGATATTATTTTCAAAAAAGTATTCGGATAAACCATATATATCTAGCATTTCTTTAACATTTGATACCCAGTTTTTTACCTTTATAACAATCAGATAAACTTAATTCATATGTTTTCCTTAAAATTATATTGTCAGTATTTATCAATTTGCACCAAAACTTAATTATTCTTACGTATCGATTTATTTACAATGGGAAACGGCCGATTTCGCCGTATATACGAAGGTTGCTTGTATTGGCTCTAACATTTAAAATTATTTTACAATATTTCAAGTGAATACGCTCAATTATCTTTTGATTTGCTATAACCCCATACTCTCAGATGTATATGATATGATTGAGCCTACAAAAAAAATCAAATAATTGGCATAATGATTTGGGTTTTAAATCCATGTCTTCTGTTAAGAAGTAAAAGTAATGTATAAAGTTCCAGTAACAACTTCCTCATTAATAGGTAATATTTAGCTTGATTACACCCTATTGGATACGCTGTCTATTTTTCATATAACATGCTTGAATATTATCATTTCCCTTAGAAATGCATTAATATGTATTACAAAATACGTTTGCTTACATCAAGTTAACATATTATTTGTTTTAATTATGATTTCCACAATTCATCAAACATGCCAACT